TTGTTCCTTCCTACAGACACTACAATGAGGACTCTTGCCCACATTTTTCTCTTGCTCCTTCTGCTTCCTGACTGGTTCTAACACTTCCCTCTATGGCCCTGCGTGGCATGGCAGTTCTCTCCTATTGGGATGTGTAACAAACTGTCTTTTCAGCGGCAATGGCTTCCAGATCTGTTGGCCTCACCATACCCGAATAATAGTAAAACCTACATTTTAAAAGTTAAATACTTTCAAAAGAAATGTTTAAATACTTCTCTAATCTCAAGTGTGAGGTACTCCACTGCTAATTCTTTTAAGATCCAGAAGGAAGCCTCTCTTTTTCCATGTTCTGCCAATTGGAGAAATGACTTTTACTCAGAGAAGTCAGTGCAGTATTAAATAAAAAATTTTAAGTAATGAGAGACTTCTCTTAAGATGTATTATCATTGCAAAAATTCCTATGAATTATTGTATTATCCTCAATAAACTAAAGTTCAAAGGTTTTCTCAAGATCACAGAGCCATGTACATGGAAGAGGTGAGACTCAAGCACAAACTTTCCTGGCATTCCTCTGACTTATGCCCTGCCCCCACTCCTTCCTTCTATCATATATCATAGTCTTCCAAATATTCCAATGCCTTTTACAAAGTTCTCTTGCCTAACATAACCATGTCCTTCATATTTTAAAGAAAAAAGTATGGCAGTGTTTCCAACTAGGACCAATAAATGATTTCACAATAAAAAATAGCTGAGATATATCTAGATATTTCAACAACAATAGAGCCTTGGGAAATGAATGTAGAGTTTTAAGAAGATATTATCAAAAGACAGAGAAGATCTGGAAATTAGAGAAGTTTGTAATACTAAGTATGATCTTTAGTGAATGAATTAGAACTTTTAGAGATCTCTTCTTTTTGAAGAGTCCCATTCTTTGGTCACGGGTCCCCAGAGCTACAGAAAACAAGATTGGCTGTGAAGAAGACAGGAAAAAAATATCTTGTAGTTTTGGAAAAAACATAAACTGAGAAGGAATACTTAAATTCAATACTGTAAAGATGAAAATAAGCATATGAAAGAATATATAATAAAATATATTTTATCTATCGAATGTCATGAAGCAGCAACATACACTGTAAAAGTGTCAAGAACTATGTAGTTAGTGTTGACCATAGTTATGCGGGGAACACTTCAAGTAAAATAATTGAAAAATTAACCCAATATTGAACAAAATATAGCTCATGGAAATTTATTTGTTAGCATTTACCAAATTTCTACAATAGTTTGGAATTTCACTATTTTAAGCAAGAAAGAGGTAACATTGAGAAAGAGGGAAAGGAGAAAATAATGAAGTGAATCAAATGACTTGGAAATAAAAAAAATAGTGATGAAAAAGTTGATAGTGAGTAAGGAGAAAAAAGACTGGATCAGCAAAGAGCTGAAGTTGCTCTTTGGAGATGGTGATTGGCAGCTGTTAAGAATTTCCATGGAGTGTGGGTAAGAAGAAATAAGCTGTGTATGGCTGGGGGACCTCAGCTGGATATCAGGAAGAATTTCCTGACTGTAAATGTCAAGAGCTCTGGTTTATAGGATCAAAGAGAGGCTTCTGGGGTATGCCTATCCTTGGAGTATTTTTCAGCCTCAAGCAAGAGATTTTTTGGGTGGTTTTCTGCAGCCCTGTGGATGGACTGGATGGCCTTCTCATGTTGCTGAGAGATGTGCTGTACACTGCTGCTTTCACAGTGTCCTTGCCAGCTGCTGACTCCCAGCTCAGAGGCTGTGGAGTTTTCCCCACAGAAAAAAACAACTAAGTCTTTCACTCTCTGTTCCTCACTTGGACCAGTCCTTAGGTGTATACTGTGGGTTGTTTTTTTTTTTTAGCTTCTCAGCACTTAGATACTTTCGTTTTGAGCCAAGGGCCTCCTAGAACAATGCAGTATCTGTGTGTTGACAGTAATAGCCTATGAGCCAGAGACACACAGCCAAGCTCTCCCTCCCACATGGGCTGGACTGCACACTTCACCTGCAGTAATCCACACACTTAGTCAGCACTAGCCTGCCCCAGGGCCAAGTGCCCCCGTCCGCTCGCCTCTTCCTCAACCTGAACCTGTTAATTGATTCAATTCTGAACTTTTTGGCCACATTTATGCTAATCCTCACTCAGGATGGTTTCTACCCACCTTCCATCCCACCCGCAGAGTGAACATTAGTGGATCACTGGTGAGGGTACATATTGCTTAGTTGGGCAGCTGAGTATTTACAAAAGGTTTGACCTGAAAAAAGATGCCAGTTTTTTCTTATAACATTATGGCCTTTCATTTATCGTGTGATTATCGATTTACATGGGGAGTTAGGAATGCTAAACAAGCGTAGAGTTTTTACATGGTCTGTTTCTGCTGAGTTCAGAAACTGGGGAACATCATTTGACTTCTGGCAAAAAGACAATTTAGAAAGGTGTTTTAAAACTGTCCTTTTGTTCTTTGCCCTGAATCTGAGATGGGAACATGTACTTCTAACGAAAGTAGAGTTTTAACCCTTAGGTAACCCTAGTAGAGAAGAAACTATGTTGTATGAAAGTCATCTACAGGGTCCACATTCAATATCGAATGACAAATCAGAACAATCTCCCTCAAGGCATGTCTCTCTTCATAGTGGCATCACAAGATTTCTCTTAAAGCCTCGACTTAGTGGTATGATAATGGTATTATAGGCCTACATGAGATGAATACATAAGAGAAAACTAAATGGGTAGTAAGAGTATAGGAAAATTAAAAGAAAGGACAAGGAGAGTAAATGAGATTTTAAGGAACAAAATGAAGCTCTGTGTGTGTGTGTGTGTGTGTGTGTGTGTGTGTGTGTATCTGTAGGGCCTGATGTTACTCCTCTTTATTCAACATAAAGTAGATACTTGGTGGTACGCAGAAGTATCAGGGAGAAATCAGAGTTCCACCTTTGGAGTCTTTTCTTCTGATTCATGATTTTCTCCCTGAAAAACATCATGACACCGATATTTAGATTTGGAGTCCACTCTTGTTTCTGAGTTCTGAGATTAAAGAACTGAGCTATTTAGTTACTCATGGAAGTCTTAATCTACCTGCAATCTCATGAACTCTTTATATGGAATTTGATTTGTTTCCCACTGATATTGTGCACAGAACGGTGAAATTCAAAATTCAGCTCCTTTGAATAGGCAAGACCTTTCCAAAAATGCTTTTGTAGTTCTATTCTCTGTTCCCAAAAAGCATCAAGACTCTGTTCACCATATCGTCATTTACCTTTGTTCTTAATCAAATCCAGTGGAGCCCAGAGAAATTTTATTCAATGGGAAATAAAAGAGACATAGAGGAAGAAAACTCAACTTGCTTTCCCTATAGTCTCACACTTACCAGCCATTTCCCTTTTAGGAATCCATCACAAAAGCTTTGCACGTGCTCTACAGAAACTTCTGCCATGGGCAAGGTATCCCACTCCTCATCCACAGTTCGGTAAATGGCCAGTGCAGGCAGTTGAGACTCCTTTAGTTTGAAAAATGATATCACCTTCCCATTTTGCTTCACACCGCTGTCCACCAGAATAAAAAGAATCTGCAGTTGGAGAAGTTTGAAAGAGAAAGATCTATGCGAGGTCCTGAGGAGAATGAGACATTCTGTAATTGTGGCAGTTTACTCTGATTGAATTTATGGGTCGTACCACACAATTTAAATCTTAGTCGAATTAGAATGAATTTATTCTTACTTTGAATTAGGTATTTTATCCTTTCGATCCAGTTGATATAGTTTTAAGAACATAGAAGGGAGAAAGTAGAACCTAATGGAATGAGTTTTAAATTTTGCCTCTGGTACTTTCTAGCTGTGTGACTTTCAGCACATTATTTAGCCTCACTGACACTCAGGGCTCTCATGGGCAAAATGGGCTTTTGCTGGGGAGATTAAATGAGAGCATACATTCAGTATTTCTAGTACAGTTTTTGGCACATAGTGAGTAGATAAATGCTAAGTATTTTATATTATTAAATCAAACCTTCTACCCAGAGTAGAAATCTTCTTTATAATATTCTGATTAGAGCATTGGCTACATTTGGTAACACTGAAAACTTCCTGTGTTAGAAAAACAACCACCAGAAAGTCAGCTTATTTTATCATCAGACAGTTCTCATCATTGAACAGGCCTCTTGGTTCAATGCAGTAGCCTTAAAATGGTTGAAGTTTTACTATGTCAGTGATATCAAGCAGAATTGCACAAAGTAGGAAAGGGAAAGAAATAAGTATTTATTGGACATCCAGTTGGCACCAAGTACGTGATAGGTGTTTGATATGAGAAATAAGCCCTGAAATTTAACACTTTAAGAGATTATGGCAAGTAGTAAAAAAATGTGATAAATAGGTAATTTTTATTTTCACATCTATACTTTTGCTCAACTTATCAATGTAGAAAAAAAGAAATAGGATTACCACCAACAGAAGATATGATTATACAGGTCTTTAATAGTATAAAATACAGTATCTTTAATTTTAAATCACAGTAATGTGATCTATTATGTTCCAGTTCTTACTTTATCTTTTAACCGTACTTGTTTTCCTTATATATTTCAGTTCCCTCACCCCATGCCACTTTTTCTAGTGTGCATGTGCCGAATTTTCAAAAGGGTGTCTCTCATGCCAGACTTACCTTCCCCTGGAAAAGCTTAGCTGCCTTCTTGTATCTGTGCATGCTTTCTTCATACTCTGGGGAGGCCTTGTTCATCATCAGGAGAAGATGAATCTGAATCATACTATTAAATAAGCCAATTGCAGTCTGGCAAGTTGAAATGTATCATAGTAGAATAAAAGAGAGATGGGGTAAAAAAAAAAAAAAGCAATCTATTAGAGGCAACCCAGTAAATACATAGACAGAAACATAAATGAGAGCCCTCAACCAATAACACAAATGATAATTAGCCTCCAAGATGGCTCTCGGTAAGTCACACACTCTGGTTTTCATGCAATGGTGTAGATCCCTTTTTTCCACATGGAATAGGGCTGAGCTGAGTAACCAGTGAGATATTGCAGATATGCTGGAGTGTGACTTCCAAGGATTAAGTCGTCAAAGACATTGTGGGTTCTGCCTTACTTTTATATCAATTACTCTGGGAAAAGCCAGTCCTATTGTTGGGTGTTTAAGCAGCTTTATAGAGAGATTCACAAAGCAAGGAACTAAGCTCTCCTACAAACAACCAACATGGACTTGTCTGCCATGTGACTGAGCCATCTTGGAAACAGATCTTCCGGCCCCCATCACACCTTCAGATGACGTTGCCTCCATAACCTATCACAGCAACTTCACAAGAGGCCCCAGATTAGAAGCACCTAGCCTAGTCACTCCCAAATTGCTTCCCATAGAACTGTATGAGATAATCAATTTTTACTCTTTTAAACTGTTAAGTTTTGGGGTAATCTCTCTTCATGTGTTAAGAGCAGTCAGATACATTTAAAATGTGGCCTTTGACTCCATATTAATAGTGCACACTTTTGAGTGCTTACTATCTGTTGGGCACTGTTTTCAGGTCTCCACATATAATAACTAATTTAATTCTCAAATTCCCAGTATTATAAATGAGAAAATTGAGGCACAGACTCTCTCAAAGTCACATAAGAGGTGGACTGGGATTCACACAAGAGAGTCTGGCTCCAGAGTCCATGCTCTTAAACCATCAGAATGTACATACAAAACTCCTTCTAAACCAGTTCAACCCTAAATGTGGTTGAACCAGTTTACCTCGGGTCAATAATGAGATGAGATCTTCAGGAGATCAGAAACATTTTTTGCTGATTAGAGATGGTAATTCGCCATGAAGTCATCAGTGATGGAAGAGAGTGAGATAGCCTTGAGCCAGAGTAAGGAGAAGAGAGAGTGAAAATATGGCACTGGCTCCCTTCATTTCATTTTCCAGAAATAGTGCTGCAAAAGTCTTTTTTTAAAAAAAATTCCATTCCCTTTCAACTCTCCTAAATACAGAAAACATTGCTGTAAAACTAGCACATGCACAGGAAGAGAGAGAGTATGGTGGGTTAACAAACCACTGGACATAGTCCCAGGATGGTGGGAAGGGAAACAATTAGGTAGGATCCTTTTGGAAGCTACACACTGCTGTGTAGAGATTCTTTAGGTTTATTGGCCAACATGTAGTCAAGGAAGGCTCGATTGGTTCTTTCCAAAACATTCTTCCTAGAGTTTAAAACCAGTTCTTAGATTTTTAAATTTGGGAGATTAGATGTTAAGTAATTGTCTGTTGTTTGACTAGATTCCACTACTTAAATTTAGAGCATGCATCTATGCTCCTAGAACAGACATGGAGGATAATCCTTGGGAAGAGTCAAGAAATCAAAGCTAGCGAGTCAGAAGGTACAGTTGTCTTAGCAGAAGGGATTGAGCGTAGCAAAAATGATTAGTTTAATCCTAATAAACACAGTCTAATTTTTTACCTTGAAGCCAAGTATTGAGTCTGTACATTAAAAATACATGTTAGGCCAAATACATTTCTGTGACTTTCTGCCCAGTTGCTGCTGATACAAACCTCTGTACCATAAGCAGATGAGCAATAGCTATAGTAGTGGAGCAGGTCTCCAAATGAAAAAAGTACTACTTTTGGGAAATGGAAGTCACAATAAAAGTTGAACTTGCTCCTATAAAGAAGTTCTTACCTAATTTCTTCTTGATGTGGTTTGTCTTCACTACTAAAGTGAAGTTTAAAATAATGTGTCATTCTTCTCTAAGATAAAAGATAGATCAGGCATAAGAACTCAGGAAAGCCAATTCTTGCCACTGCCTTAGTTGGCCTGCAGAACTTAGGACCATAGGGCCATAAACCCAGGAACCATAAAGTCTTTTCTGGTCCCACATGCATTCCTGGCATCTCTATAGACACAATGACCAGACTGACGATGGTCTAGAAAGAAAAATTTTTTTCAATTATTGCTGTCAACAAACCTAGATGCGTGTGTTTAGAACCTTAGCAAAAGTGGAAATGGAGTTAGCCCTCCATGGAGACAAAACATCGTGTGAGAGGTGGACATGAATTTGGTCAACAGGAAAGGGGTGTTTTCTGTTGAAGGCTGTGTAGGGCAATGGAAAAACCACAGGATTCAGTCAGACAGACCAGTCATGAAAAAGGCAGAGACAAGTGAAGAGGGCTGTCTGTGAAGCTCAAATTCGTAGTCACATGGCCTTGAGGAGGTTACTTCACTTTTCTGAACTCTCATTTTCTCTCCTGTGAAATGGAAATACACAAGACGAACTAATGCATGATGAGTTAAAATTTTTGCTTTCGATTATGCCTTTTCTACTTACTGTGTGATCTTGACTAAGTCACTTGGATCTTGAATGTTCTCCTTTATAAAATGGGCATAATAATTTCCTCTCTTCTACCTCAAAAAATCAATGTGAGGATTAAATGAGAATATGGTGGAAAAGGGTATTGTAATTTCTAAAGACCTTGACATGTGTGTAAAATGTCATTATTAGAGAATGCATAACAATTCTGAACTGATGTGGATCAATGGAAATTAATACTCCATCACTCTATGATCTCTGGCAGAGAAAAGAAAAAGCAGGCCATATAAGATAATTCTACAAGCTGTAGAGTGTTAGATTATGAGGACAGATGGACCACCACCTTGACCCAAGCTGCGTACAGCATGCAACACCAAAAGAAGACAAACATAGAAAGAAAGCTGAGTCGCTATGTGGGTCTAGGCATGTGCAGGTGATGCCACATCCAAATTGTTAGTTACTGGTCCACAAGGATGTAGGCACATAAAATGGGAAGAAGTGTATGAAAACTTTTATAGGAATTTTACATAGCTGCAACATCCAAATATGTCATCATTAGGGTTTTTTTTAAAATTTTTTGTTTATTTTATTGCATTTTACAAAAATATTGGTTCCTGATGCTTTAGGGAAAAAAATGGAACTACGTCATAGATTGCAATCTCATTTGAGAGTGTGGGCTAGAGTGTTGCTAGGATCAGAGTTACCTTTACTGAACACTGTCAGGCAGCAAATCTCAGAAGTTTTTGAATCAGCCACCTTAACTTTGCATTATGGCTCTCTTTCTTATTAGCCAGGTGATAGATCATTTAACTTTCCTGACTCTATTTCTTTCTATGTTGAATAGAGACAAGTCTATGAATCTTAAGAATGGAATATAAACAACTAGGTATTCCGTTAATGGCAGTTACTGTTATTATTGGTTAAAGGATCAGAACTCCTAGAGGAAAAGATCTTTGCTATTAAGACAAGTACCCTCCTTGACACAGGGACTTTAGGGGCTGGAGACAGGGGATATTCTTTACCACAGGGTTGTACTCTGTCACCAAGTAGAGGCTGTTGATTTCAATGAAACGGCTTAATTTGGTGGCATCAATGCTTTCAATGTCTTCACTGTCTAAATCCAGTTGTTCGTTATCCGCCTGGGCAACATAAAAAAAAGGATAAAATTGTCGCTGTTTTGTCTTTATCCATTCATTGATAAATGTTTCTGGACTATCTACCACATGTCAGGCACTGTTAAAGCTCCAAAAACAGAACTATAAATAGATGATACTCTCTACCCTCAAGGAACACACTGCCATGTGGGATACAGAGAAGTGGGCAGAAATGTCCCACAAGTTATGGCAAGTATCATCACAGGTCCATATATCATCTAAGAAAGAACAGAAAAGTTTTCATGAAGAGGTAGTTCCGTTAGAAGGCTATAAATGTATCCACAAATTTTGTATGTAGATCTTTTCATTCAGTTCAAAATGTTTTTTTAAATTTTTGTTCTTATTTCTTCTCTAAACTATTGATTATTTCGAAGTATATTCCTTAATTTTAAAGTAAGACTTTCTGGTTATTTTCTTGTTATTGATTTCTAACTTAATTTCTACATTTTACATCTTTTATCAACTTTTATATGTTATGTGTCCTTAAAATTATGTACAGTCTACAGTTTTGAATGCAATATTCTATATATGCACATGAGGTAACATGGTTAATTTTATAGTTTAAATTTTCTATATTGTTATTGATTTTAAAAACTAGCTTATTCTATCAAGAGAGGAGTGTTAAAATCTCCCAGTATGATTGGGAGATTTTTTTCTTAAATTTTTTCTTACAATTCTGCGAGTTATTCTGCCTATATATTTTCAGGACATGTATTAGATAAATGCAAATTTAGAATTGTTAAATCTTTTGTGCAAATTGAAAATTTATCATTATGAAAGATAATTCTTTATCTCTAAGAATGCTTGTTGCCTCAAAGACTACTTTGTCTAATATTAATATACTTATTTCAGCTTTCTTTTGGAAGTGTTTGTATGGTATATCTTTATCTTCTTATCTTTATATTTTGCTTGTGTCCCTGTGTCATTATGTTTGAAAATGATGTCTCTTATAAAAAGTACATTGCTGTATTTTTAAATATGCATTTTTCCATCATCTCTGCCTGTTGTACATTCCATTTTCCTGCATTTCTGGCCTATTTTGAATTGATCAAATGCTTTGTATTATTCCTTTTTTCCTTTATGGGCTTAGAAGTTAAATAGGCTTTAGTTATTCTCTTAGGGATTACCAGCATACATTATACAACATGCACCATTTACTTATCAAAATCTAATATTAATTGGCACTTTTATCCTTTTTTTAGACAATGCAGACATTAGAATATTATAATCCAGTTTACCTCCTCTCAACTCCATTCTCTGGTCCACACTCAAAACGTACAGGTGATTACTATCGTATGTCTTAATTCTAAATCTCACAAGACATTATTATCATTGTTATATAGTCTATATACCTTTACATTCATGCTCATATTTACATTTTAGTTTCTTTTCATTTTTTCCTGCATTTTTGAGTTTCTATCTGAGATTTCTCCCCTTTCTGCCAATAGGTCTTTCCTTTAGCATGAAGTAGTTCTCTTGGGTGACCTACTCTCTCAGCTTGGTTGTTTCAAATATCTTTATTTAACCTTTGTTTTTGAAGGCTATTTTGCTGGAAATACAATTCTAAGTTGACAGTTATTCTTTTTCAATTTTTGCAAGGTATAATTCTTTATATTTTGCGTTCCACTCTTTCTGTAGAGAAGTCATCTGTGAACCTTAGTATTACTCCTTTGAGATTATTTTGAGGGCAATCTCTTTTCTCTGATTTAAGATTTTTTTCTTTTTTTTTGAGTTTTAGCTATTATACTATAGTATGGCTAAGGGTAGATTATATGTGTAATTATATATATTATATGAGTGTGAATATATGTGTATATATTTATATATTCATATATGATAATTCTAATACAATTTCAGGAATCGAGATGATTTGAATTTGTGCTGCAGTCCTTGGGAGGATGGGTCTACTTATGGCTCATTCTTGTTATTAGGGTATTGCTCTTTAGGTTCTAAAGCAGAGCAAAGGGTATTTTACTAAATCTACCTCTTACTTTCTCTTCTGGGCCCTAGATTTCAACTTTTACTTTTCTGGCTCTTTGAGGGTCTCAGAAATGCTCATAAACCTCTCAGCCTCTTGGTTGCTGCTTCTAGAACTTGCAAAAGCCTCCCAGAAGAAAAGCACTCCCAATACGGGGTTTACCTTTTGGGTTTCCGTCTTCCAGATCTTTGTCTAGACATTTTCCTCTCTCTTACTAATTCCCGTTTTTTGGCCCAGTTTTTTTTGTTTGTTTGTTTTTTGTTTTAATTGTCTGTTGTGGAAGGGGCTGTCTGGTCTCTTACCCCAGAATTACATTTTAGAACCACCTTTCCACCATAGTTAGGTATATTAAAAGATAGGATTTCATAGGCCAATCATTGTTCTCAGAATTTCCCATTCCTCTCCTCTAGTCTACTCATGACCATTAAGACACAATGTAGTGCATCCATAACTCATAGCAACTATGCCTACAGATAAAATGATCAAGGCCGAGTCCTGAACAATTCCATTTCCTAAAATACTTTGGGTCACTTTTGAGATCTTTGGACCTCCAACCCTTGGATATTTCTTTAACCTCTTCCCCTTATACCTGCTATCTTATGTAGGTCCTATTCAGTCAGATCTTGCCATGGATCATTCTTTTGCTCTCAAGATACTTTCTCCCAGTCTACCCAGCGAAGTCAGAGGTAATTATCATTTTAGTTTATGCATGAAGGAATTCAGACAAAGGTAAATTAAAGTCACTAAACAGTAAGAGTCTAATATTGTTCTTTATTGTCATCCCTATGATGACTCCCATTTTCTATTTTTCACTTCTTTTGTTCAAGTTTGTCTCTCACTGGGTTCATTAAATGCAATACAAACCTCTAAGAAGCTTGATGCACTCTTTATGTTTAATTTGGTTAATTCTCTGTATATCTAGTCATTCTCTTATAATCCATTTTTTATGAATTATTTATTGAGTGCCTTCCCTATGTTGTGCACTGAGGCACAGATGTGCTGACATTCACTCAAGTAGCAATTTAATCACTATTTTATGACTTTTTCGCAACTCAAATTTATGAAATAAATAACTGCTGAGGTACAGAAAACATTTGTATTTCTGAAAAAGTTTTTTTGAAAAAATTTATCAAAACCATGGGATATTTTAAACTGTGAACTCCCTTTGTATATTGAATTGTTTTAAAATTCACGAAGTTCAAAGTGGAAAGCTTGAGGCAGAAATATAAAAGCAAGAGAAAAGTCTTCTTAGGTGCAGTCTTTACTCACTGTGCTACCATCCTCCCTAAGTCAATAAGAGCGAGAAGAGAAATAAAATGAGCACACAGATCTTCACTGTGGCTTAAGGCTTGGTTTGCCAGCTGGCACATCTTCACAGTTAAGGGTTTTCTAATTGCAGCGATCAAACTTATCATTATTATAATCACAATCAGGGCCTTTTTCATATTTAATATGTTTACTTATTACTTTATGATTATTTTTCTAGGAACTCACAGGCCTGGCGTCTGTGCCTCAGCTGACTTAGCTGTGCTCGGGGCCAGGAGCCCCCTCCCTCTGGCTCTCTTTTCCAGGCAGTCCGTCACATTTCCCAGAACAGAGGCAACAGGAAAGCCAGTAACTCCAGGTGTTTCTGGACTTAAGGCATGCAGTATATTGGAGGTAGAAGATGCTAAGTGGTGATAACATTCTCTAAAAGGCAAAGAGCTTTAATAAAAACCACTCTCCTGAAGTCTCTCCAGTTTGTACTGCTTCTTTTAACAAAACCTGTCTGATTATTTCACTGTTTTTTAAACCAATAAACTCTGGAACATTCATGTGTAGGCTTCCTGGAAACAACATCTGAACAGGAAATTTGCCTTCTGTAAAGGGAATTAATTATCTGTATAATTCACTGGAAAGGAAATCTGACCCTAGAACCAAGAGTTGGGAAAAAAATTCTTTAAAATATATTTTCTACTTTTTGGAGAGAATTTTACTAGAGATATCATATTATTTTTCTCTTCAAGTAAAGAAGCTTCCGAAGAAAAGCAGGAAAAGTAAATCAGGATTGCCACCTTGAAATATGATTTTGAGATTCCCCAAAAGTATCTGAAGTGGATTGGTTTATGTTCTAGACATTACTTCTATCAAACCAACAGATTTAATCACTCCTTTTATGTTAATTAGTATTTCAGCAATATTCCTTTGAATTCCTATGTATTTCTCTAATTAACACCCCAGCTTTTGACAAAATGTATTAAAGTCACCTTAGTTGACATTGTAGTTACAGTATATTGGATAGCACTGAAAAGTCATCTGTTAAACAAATGCCTTCATGTCCTTGGGTTTGTTTTTATAAGCTGCTTAGCTTACCATATGTTTGGTAAATGTATGCTTTAAAATATTTAATAATTTGATATATCTTACTTCTTGCATTTCCTATCCATTTATTTTTATGTACTAGTTCCTTCTGATGCTCTTTGTTTGGCAAGGTAAGTTTCTTATATTAGGTACCCAACAAATAACCATAAAAGGAATGAAAGAATGCCTCTACTGTGTTTCCATTCCTATCCTACTGAGTTAAAGTTAGGCGAATTATATTTCTTAAAATAGAAGTCAAAGCAAATTAAATGTTCAAATAATATCTGAAATTTCATTTTAAGATGGGCTCATGGTTTATTCAACACAGTATTATATCTCTGTAAGGGCAATAACAGGAGTCCTGTTGGAGAGTATAAAGTGTCATGCCGCAGTCACACTCAGAAAAGACAGACAGGCTACCTTACACAACTTATTACTGTTCATCTAACTTAAAGTTTTCCCAATGATGTTTATATAATTGGCCTGCATTATTTCTGGAGAGTGATGCATTTCATGAATGTAGCATTTACTAGCTTCTTATTGCTCCAATATTTCAAGCATTAAGTAACTCAACTTACGGTCTTATCATTGTTTTCACTTATCATTTCAGTTTATTTCTAAATATGTTCTTACAACTGAAAATTCTATATGTTTAAACTCTGAATTCAAAATATGTAATGCTTACTTTAAATCTTGAGAAATTATTCTGGGATTTGATAAACTGTGCCAGGGGTATAGAGAAATGGTTTAAGAAAAAGCAGTTTAAAAAAAGAAGTCTTCAGAAGGAGGGGCATTAGAATAGCTAGAATCTTGGAGTAAAAAAAAACTTCACAAAGGTTTTCTTCAGCAATAAGTGCTTTAGAAAGTCACTGTAGCATCATAGAAAAGGTATGTGTAGGAGTTAGCAGTGTTGGGTGTGAATCAGATGTCTGTTGTGTCTTAGTTGTGAGACTTTGGACAACTGAATCAATCTCATGAAACCATAGTTTCCTTATTGATAATGTAGGGATCATAATTATTTCATCAGATTCTTGGGAGAATTAAATGGTAGAACATTGAAAAACATTTGGAATAGTGTCTATCATAAATTAGGCACCAAAACAAACAAACGAACAAACAAATGAGCAGAACAAACTATGGATCTAACATGAAAGATACCAGAAAATTTGCAAAAGGTTTACATTTCCCAAGGTAAAGAAAAATAGTTTTTGTTGATGATCTCTTAAAAAAAAAAAGTTATCTCAAACTCCTGAATAAGAACTCTACTAAAATATGGACTCAACTTTTGAAAGTGTAAACTGAGAATAAAGTGTTTATTTAAAAGCTGGCACAGCATAAACTGAACCTCTCCCAGACCTGCAAATGGAGTAGGGTAGGAACCAACGTGTTTGTTTTTAGTATGGCACATAAATAATCTTGTCCACAGAGGTCTCAAGAGTTCATTCAGAACAGGTCTGCCACTAGCAGTAAACAAAAAACAGATGCTAAAGAAGAGTGAACGGCTCTGGGAAGTCATCAACAGGACTTTATAAGGAATAAGTTGTGCACAGAGCTAATGTGCCCATTAGAGGTTTAGAATGTAGAGACATCGAAAGCAACAGCACTTGTTTTTCTTCCCCTTGTGTGTATCTTGGTAGTACTGGCTTTAAAATCAGGACTTTGCAAGATCTATAAACAACAAACTGATTAGAATTTTCATATTGAAGGGTTACTACAGATGGCTCAACAGTAACATGAAAGGCATTAACCTAACCGTCCATATCTTTCTTGCCAAAGCTTTTCACAGGAGAGTTTGATTTAATCCTATTTCACGATAATGAATATGCAAACCCGCAACCGTTGTCCAGGTGGGGAAAGCGTTGGTAAAGGGACTTAGGAACCCTCAGATATACTTTTGGAGGTGAGTCTGTTCCTCAAACCCTTTCTTAGTATCTTCTGAGTACCAGAGACATATTGTAGACCTTTGGAATATGAAGACGAGTAAGTCCTGATTTCTGCCCTTGAATAGCTCCTGGTCTAGTGGGGTAAAAGATGAGACAGACAGAAATACACAACTTGCACTGTAAAGTGGTAAATGAAAATGGAGATATGGAAGTCTAGAGGAACACTTAGGCCAATTTGGAGATTCCAAGGAGGCTTTCTGAAGGATAAGATGCCTAATCGATTCACTGGAATGTGAGGAGGAATCAGCTGGGTGAGGCTAAGTGAAAGGGGAACACTCGAGGGCAGTGGCATTCTAGGCAGAGGAATAATAGTGTGTGAAATAATCGAATTGTATCATCATACTGCATATATATGGGTATTGAGAGGGTAAAGGCCAGGGTGAGAATGTTCTTGAAAGGGGAGTAGAGAAGCAGGTAGTGGCCAAGTCATAAAAGACTTATGTTTAAATATCTTAATTTTGATATTTTAAGAAACAGGGACTATTTAAGAAGGAAGCATCATGGTCAAATTTCCATTTTAAATCTGTCACTGTACCAATCTAGAAATTACATATGAAGGAATAAAGAGAGACCAATTAAGAAGCTATGGTAATTGTCTATGCCAAATATGCTAAGAATCTAAAAGAGGAAAGAACTAGAAAGAGTGAAGGAGAATGTAGTTTCAATAAGATAAGAGGTACAATTGGCAAAAATTAGAGACTGAATGATAGCCATTCAATAAAATAGTGTTTTAGAAGAAAGAACGTGATTCAGCAGGTGCAGATGATAAATTCAGTTTTGAATATGTTAAGATTGTGGTGCTTATAAGGGTACCTAAATAGTTACGTATAGCAAGGATTTGAATCATGAGAAAGATCCAGGCTAGAAATAAAACCTACCAAATCCTCATGTGTTACTCAAGCATAAAACAGAATTATATCACCCAAGGATTACACATTCATTCATTAATTGATTCATTCACATATTCATTTATTCAATGAACACATAATGAGCACCTGATATGTGTCAGGCACTTTTTTAGGTTCTGTGGTTGAAGTAGTGAACAAAACAGTCTCTCCCTCCATGAAATCTGGATTCTATAATCTAGATTAGGGAGAGCATTGGGTCAGGCAGTAGTGTAGGTGAAGAGAAGGTCTTAAAGAGATTAGGAAAAAAAGAAGAGGACCAAGAGAAGTGGGACCCTAGAAGTCAAGGAAAGAGAGAAGCTTAAAGAGAAAAGTGTGGTCAACATGTCAAATATGGCAGAAATGTTCAGTAAAATAAGACTTAAAAAGTGTTCATTGGATTGGAAGTATGAAAAGCCGTTTTAATAGAGTACAGGGTATAAACCAGATAACAGTGTATTTAAGAGCTTAAAAAAGTTGGAGACATTGAATATAAAATACTTGTAAGAGAGAGTTGGAGAGAAGTGAAAGAGATAGATAAGAGGGTGAAGAACATTTAGCCCAGAAATTTTGAAACTTTATCTTTTGCTCAGTTTCTCACTTTGCCCCTCCCTATCTTTCTGAGGGTGGACTCCGGTCATCTTTACCTTGGTACTCCACTGATAATACAAACTCAACAATCAAACACAGCATCAGAAAAACTTATTTCTGTGTATATCTTCACTATTATTAGATACCCTAACTTTAAACCTTGGCTCCTTTCCATCATTTTGATATCTAATCCTTGAAAAACCTGCTTTTTCTTCAATTTCTATTGCTACCTCTCTACTACAGACCGTTAGTACATGATCTGTTTTGCCACCTAACAAAGTTCTTTGCAGTCTTGTCTTTTTGCCTAATAATCCATCCTATCCATTTTCAAAATAATGTTGCTAAAATCTCCATGATCTAAAGATTTAGGGGTTTTCCAGTGCCAACCAAATTAAGCAAAAACCCATCAAGCTGGTTTTCAAATTTCTCCACAATATGGTTCCAATTAAGCCTCTCTGTCTTATATTTACTTCTCCAAAATATTTACCTAGAGCTCCAGTCAAATTGGCCTGATCATTGTTTCTTAAGTTACATTTTTTCTGTCTTGGCTATTAATTCTCTTCCACTTTGTCCAAATATTATCTATCCTTTAAATCCTGGTTTGTTTGTCTTCCTTATAAATTTTTTTTGGTCAGAATTCCTACTTTTATCCTTTTTACCTTATAATACTTTAACCATAACGATGCTTTGTATTCTAACCATATTTACAATCTCTACTGTATTTTAAGATCTATGAGAGAATATACTTAACATGTTTTTAATATTAATATCTTGCCTATGGTACATAGTAGTTGTTTAAAGCATGTTTGACAAGTGTAAAGGAACTCCTAAAGACATAAAAATATGAAATTTTAGAGCTCAGAATGACCTTACCTTAGAGATGATATGGTTAAATTTTATTGTATAGATGAAAGAATTGGAGCTAAGAAATGTTAAATGACCTGCTCAGGTCACACGGCTGATCAGTGACCAGGCAGAGCTACACATTTCATCTCCTGCCTCTTAGTCCAGCTCTCTTTCCGTTTCAGAACAGCATCTTTTTGGGAAGCTTGAGTTGAGCCATCATCCTTGTCATCATTGTCCCTGACGCGGGCATCAATCGTTGTGTTAAAGACAGACTTCTTTCTAGCCTCACAAATCTGTGCATCCACAGCCTAAGGAAAAACTGGGAGGAGGCTTGAGCTGCCCAGGCAACTTACCAGACGGAAGAGAGAGATGGTGTTCCCAGTGACGTTGTAGTGAGCCAGAACCTCAGAATCAGTGCTGATTCCAAAGGACACGTCTTGAAATTTCTGCACCAGACTATGAAATACGGACACTGCTGGTGTTTCTAAATCCTAAAAACAAGTGGGGAGAAAACCTCACAGAGGTTATTTTGGAGGAGAGAAATATAGAAACAGAACAGGGAGTAGAAATGTGCTCACTCATATCAGAAATCATAGACTTAGTGTCCCGTGATACAACATTTGGCTCTAAGAATGCAGGCTAAATTTGCAGTGGCATTGCTGAATTTTCTAGGCTGGACGGGTTAGTTGGTAACCACGAAATCATGGTCAAGCCTGGGATACCTGCCTGGCCTTACTGTAGAACTTACAGTTTATTGCTACCTGAGAGGGGCCTCAAAATCTTAGCTGCCTGCAAAATTAGGCTTCATTGTCACTGATGCTCATGGGGAAGCGTTTATTTTAGGAACAATTTGTGGAGGCAAGAAGAAATGCAAAAATAAGAAATAAGTGCTATCAAAAGGGCAAAAAAGAAAAAATAATGAATTAAAATGGAGGCTTAGAAGTTTTGTTAACATATGTTTGTGCAGGGTGTGGGAGAATAGTCTTTCTGCTTCTACTGTGTGCAAGCCTGAGGCATTGCCTATGAAAGATACTGCTCGCATGTTGCTTCAGCTCTGGAACCCAGGCTTGCAGGAGGGAACAGAGAAGGCACTTAAGAGTGATAAATCCAGCCCTTCTATAGCAAGCTGACATCATTTTCCCTGCTGTTACAGGACCATCGCCCACAGCAGTTTCAGGTAATAAACAGGAATGAACATATTCTTTGCTGACATCTCTCTGGGCTGAGGGAAGAGATGTGAAAAGAGAGAAAAAAAAGATGGTTAGCCTTGCATCTGGGGTCAAGCAGAGGCAGCTGGTACCATGCTCATCTGAAAAGGTGTGAGGCGTTCATTCGAGGCTATGAACAATTGTTAATCTAGGCTTCCCCCTTTTTATTCTGCTCTTTAGAATGGAATTGCTCACAGATCAAATGATGGCATCTGGTGGCTGCTTAAGTTACTGCACATTTCTCTAGTTCTACTCCTTTGCCCCTCCCTGCCTTTCTGAGGGTGGCTGTTTTTGTCTGCCGCTTAGATCTCTCATCACTGAAAAATGCGCTCCCCACTCTACCTCTCCCACTTACATCTCATCACAGCTACTTCCAGCTGTGTACACAGAATTGACAGGGTGATGGTGAGTTGGGATTAATGAATGAAAACAAAAAAAGATCTGCAGTAAGAGAGAAGGGGCTTGACCAGCTGTGAGAACCACCAGATGTAACCTCAAGAGAAAGATAAAAATCCTGGAAGGATGCCCTCTCATTACGGCTGCTTTCATTAGCCAGGCAGCCAGTCTGGAAGATGGAGGCTAATACCTTCAGAAAGCTAACATATATGAAATGGTGTCCTTTTCCAGCATTTCAGAGTAAACAAAAGGGAAGAAGAATGAGGGATGACCTATTTGATGAGGCTTTAGACGATGGTAACTATTGACTAATGCTTTGCTTGGATGATAGAAGTCGGCTTTACTCTGGCCCCTGCCTCAGCAATCAGATACTGACTTAAGCTTCAAATTATCCAGAGATGAGGAGACCCAGCCAGCAGCCTCAGAACTCTTGAAGCAAGTAGAAGAAAGACGTAATTCAGAGACTGAGAATGTCTAGAAATTGAGAGATCTCGAATGACAAAGCTAAAAGCAGGCTCTGCCCCCTTGGCTTCTAATGTCCTGTCATCTGGCCAGCAGGTGACTGCCATGGCTCCTTTGAGATAGAACATTTCTGTTTCTTTGGGGGGATAGCAAGCATGGTATCCGGACAAACCTGGAAGAAGCCTATGACAGCCACCTCAGCAGCAGCAATGAATTCCATGGCAGCTGGGACATCTGTGAGCCATATGGGTTCCTGAGAAGAACCAGGATCTTCTAGACACACATAGACAGACAAGAGAGAAAGAGAGACAGAGAGAGAGAGAGAATAAGAGAGAGAGAGAGAGAGAGAGAGGGAGGAGAGGGAGAGAGAGAGAGAGAAGAGACTGTGTTAGGGACTGGATAGAAAAGCAGTTCTAAATAATGAGTGCATCTAAACTTTTTCTATTCACTCTAAGGCCAAGGAGATCTGAGAATGCAATTATCATTTCAAGGCTTTATTTTTATTTATTTTTTGGCCGACATATGGAGAGTGACCCCACTTTACGGCATCTCTCTCAAAGACAATGCAAGACTTCCTTCTTCTCCACTAGGCAACACAGGTCTTAATCTAGTATTTCCTGGAAATTTTTCTAGATTTGGAGGTAAAGTACCCAGTGTAGTACTGTGTTCCCTTCCATTCTCCCAACAATACCTTCACCCCGTGGTCACCCATGTGCTTTTTTCTTTTACCTGAGGATTCCTGAATTTCTGCAGCACCATCTGGGGACAGCTCATACATGAAGAGACATAATAGAAACAGGAATCTGGATGGGGCAGCTTCCATTGTTCTTCTGCTCCTGCTCCAACCCCTGGACTTTGTGTTTTGAAACACGGATTCAGGGCAGCCCACTCTGCAGTTTATTGGCTGTGGTTTTATTAGTGCTCTGGGAACTTTGCAGCTGGCTCTAGAGAGACCTTCAACTTCTGAGATAAAAGACCAAGTTCAGTGACCGGGCCTCAGAACAAAACCAACCAGAACAAAGTCAGGTCAGTTTATTTAAATAATAAAAATAAATAGTCTAGGCCAGGTGTAAGTACTAGGGATACGAAGATGATTATAATCTGATCCAGCCTCTCCCAGCTTAGAGAGTCAATGTGAGAGATGAACAAATGAACATATAGTCTACATATAAAATGGAAAGTGCTAAAAGTTTTAGAAACTCAAAGGATGTTATGAGAGTACAGACTAAGGACTTTTAGGACAATGATGGGGTCAGCGAAGGCTTTCTTCCTTCAGGGATGCCCAAGTAGAGTCCTGAGTAAATAATTTTACCAAGCAAAAAAGATGGAAGGGGAGTTTCATGGAAAAAGCCAAAGCACAGAGATGCAAATGTAATGTGTGAGAGAATTGTAAGTAATTGAGTATTACTAAAGGAAGGGAATGATAAACATGGACAGAAAGTCATGCTGGGGCCAGTCCTCAGGAAGCTTTGTACAATAAATGTAGGAGCTTTGGTTCTACTTTGTAGGTGATGGTAATCCATTCACTGCAAGATCTTAAGCAGGACAGAAACAATGTCTGATTTGGCCCACAGGTATCTGCAGAACTCTCAGATTTCTACAGGCAGTGGGTTATATAGGTCTCAAGCTTAGGAAAAAGTTTCTTATGATAATACCAAAAAAGAAAACAAATTGAGATTTTTCTACTGTTTATGTTTTAAATGTTCATTGTCCGTTGCACTGAAACAGGGGGACCAAACTGTTTCCAGTCATATAAATGCCTCCTCACTGTGCCCTGTCCACCCCCTCTGAGGAAACTCATAAATATGAACCTTCCAGTTATCATTTTTGTTCAAATAAAGAAAACAGGGAAATGAGGGTCTCAGTCAGATCATACGATTGTTTTATTCTTACTCTCTTGTGCTGTTTACAGTGTCTCCCAGAAAAGAAGAACCCATCTGGCAGGGAATGTGACTAGGGACCTTCATAGAGCCAGCAGCAACCACAGAAGAATCCAGGGGTGAGAATGAGCCTTGGAACCGAAGGCAAAAGAACAATTAGTGATCATTCGCCCATTTCCTGGCCTCTAGCTGTTCAAATGGGAATAAGAGATATTAAATGATCGTGTATTGAGGTGGAGAACTTCGAAGGTCTGGCCGTGATGGGAGTCAGAAGGAGTGGGCAGGATTGAAGCTTGGGTTTTAAGCATCCAGTACCAGGGACCACTTTGAGAGAGTGTGGGAGAAGATGCATCAGAGAGACGATGTGGGGGTGTTGGGAAAGGGGTCCAGCTGTGATCAGGGAGAAGGGACAGTGCAGTGAACATGACTGAGAGGGTTCTTCCAAGTGCCAAGGGTAGGGACAGTAAGGGGCAGACGTGCTCATTCTGTCCACTCCTTCTTAATGGACAGATTCCACTCCCAGGTGAGGTGGTCGTGCTTGTCATCGTCGGTGAAGAAGGACTTGTTGTGGTAGGTGCCTCGGGCCAGCATGCCCTTGGGAGCCTCCTCAATTGGAGTCAAGAATTCATACTCCTCTGGTCGAGGCCCATAGCTGCCAACCATAAATGTGGCTTTATCCACTGGGAAGAAAAAAAAGTTCATTAGGGTAAGAGTCTGATAGAGGAAAAACAAATAGTGCAAACTGGAGAATTTGGAGCACTTTTTTTTATTGGAGTGCCTTTTAATACAATTTCCTTTGAATTTAATAGTTTCCTTTGACCTATTTCCCAAGACCTATGGTTCAGTAATCTGCTGTGGGTTCCAAGAATCAATGTTTTTAAAAAGCATCACCACTGCTTGTGAGTATCAGGAAAGTTGGAGAATCGGCACCCTAAATCAATAGAGATTAAGATTTTTTTTTATGGAGATGTAGCAGATTATACCAGGAAAAAAAAAAAAAAACTCAGGTGGTCAGGTGGTCAAAAGGTGCAAACTTCTAGTTGCAAGATAAATAAGTTGTGGGGATTTCATGTACAGCATGGTGACTATAGTTAAGAATACTGGACTGTGTATTTGAAAGTTGCTAAGAGAGTGTATCTTAAATTTTCTCATCACAAGAAAAAAATTATAAGTATTTGTAATGATAGATGTTAACTTATGGTAATTATTTTGCCATATATACACATATCAAATCATAATGTTGTACACATGAAACTTATACAATACTATATATCAATTATATCTCAGGTCTTTAGTTGAGACCTGAGTTCTGATCTCGACTCTTCAACTACATAAGTCATATAACAGTTCTGGGCTTCCGTTTCTTTTCTGTATAACAAACTTTAAGAATCTTCTATCTATAGACTATTATTCTATGAACATGTCAGTTGGAGGAGATAAGGTAATAGCTGGTAATCAGAATGAACAGACTTCATGGGTGGACTAATTGAATAGAAGGGTAAAATCAATAATTTGGTTAAGAAAAAGAACTGGGACAGATGGTGGAAATAGCCAACCAAAGTTATTAATAGATGAATAACTGGGATATATATTAAGAAGAATAGGTGATTAGAAAGTATAAATAAGTGTAGGTAGGTAGATAGGCCAACAATGTGTAGCTGGCCATTAAGTGTTGTGACAAAGTCTGAAGGAACAGTGATAGACACCATTGCCCTTCTGCCTAAGTGAGGCAACAGAGTCTCTATGCCCAAAGGAAAATAAGAAACTTGAGTATTTTTTCTTTCATAAGACTAGATATTAAGATCTTTTAGGTCAACAATCTTCTGTGGCATTTGAGTAATTGAGTGGTTCTCTATGTCATACAAATTTATCAGACAATTTCTCCCTTAGCCCTTATTTACTGATTTGGTGGAACTGACTTATGCATACATTACTGTTTCACGCCTCTGAGGGAAGAGAGCCCCTCAGGTAAAAAGGAACTGTAGGAGTGCTTCCATCAGCTCTCCACCCTCTTATCTTTCAGCCCATACTAATGGAGGAAAACCAAAAAGTTCCCAAGACATGTGCAATTTAGGTTCAACTTGTCAAGAATGACTGCAGATTAAGTAATGTTATATTATTTGTTTCAATTACACAGCTTTTTTCAATTCTAGAAAGAGTATTTTTTTTCTATTTCTTTGTTTAGGATATAAACACCCTCCCCCCACCCACCCTCTTACATGCTACTCCCAACTCCCCTTCCCAGCAAACATATATGCCATTGCATAAGTCTTTCCTGTCTTGGATTTCTCTGACACTCAGGTTTTATACTTGTGAACTGCTTTTTTTTTTCTTTTATTGTTGAGAGTACTTTTATATACTTTATTTTATTTAAAATTATCTTGGTTACCTTTCTCCTTTGTGAGTAATAAAGTTGAATTCTAGAACCTCAGTGCCGGCCCAGACTCCTGAATGTAGGTCTTGCCATTAACATCTAGGTCAGAGGTATATATGCACACTTTCGCAGGGTGAGCACCCACAGCTTTGATCAGATTTTTAAGTGAGTTATGTCTACAAATTGGTAATCACCAAAAGTTTCAGTATCAGTGAGAAGCAAAGTTTGGGACAGTATAAAGTGCAGGTCCCTTACCTTTCACCCCAGTCCGGTAGGTGTGCTGAACATACTTTAGGCCTGACACAATATCTCTGTTCACCTGTAGGTGGGAAGGATACAAGCAATTCAGATTACAGAGGCTTTAATTTTTCCTTGTCATTCATTCTAATCCTACCTAGCTGAGTCTTCTCTGAAGATGAAAGGATTTAAGACTTCATTCAGATTGTTATTATTATCGTTTAGTGTATGGTACAGTGGAGATTGGAGAGAGGAATTCATAAGACTCAATGTTGCCAATCTGGTTTTAATCATGGAATACTGAGATTTGGGGGAGTGGGATGGTTAACTAAAACGTCTCAATATTCCTCATTATATTTCCCCTTTCTCAATAGTCCAAAGAACGATCTTGAGCTTCCTCTCCCCGATACTACTGGCCAGAAGACTGTCCTTGACTTAGGAAAGGTTACAAAGGTACCGATGGAAACTATTATGGAAACATCCGAAAATCCTAACCTCAGAAACGATCCACCTCTCATATGAAAAACAAACAACAAGGAGAAAAGCAGTAATGGAAAATCAGGTCTAGAAGATGGTCATAAAGTAACTAACTATGGTTGGAATCTTGAGGTGAGGAGATGGGCCACACGAAAATATCCTCCTCATATAAATAATGAGTGAAATCCACTTGTGTCTGGCAAGTATTTTGGAAGTCTGTCATTTTCAGACGTTGTCTGAGACCCTGCCACTTCCTAAGCCTTTCAAAGAAAATTCACTAAAGCGGAATGAAAATATAGAGCCCAAGCACTTTATTTTTCCATGAGTCATTTTACCTAAGACTGAACTGGGTTGTCTGTTAATTTTATACAGTGGTCATGTTTATAAAACAAATTAAAGTGGACAGTGCATCATTAGCTGGAGGACTTGCTTAATTGTTTACTGATACGAAGAATTAAAGCATCTTCAAATAATTTCTCCCCAACAGTAATTATGGCTCCTTTTTCATTTTGGACAAAATAATTAAACCAATCTGTCAATGCTACATTGTCTTTTATTGATAATGAGGCAGGTCGTAGTGTCTATTGCCAGTTTAGGTTCTAGACTGTCAGTAAAATCTGTGACAGAAAAAAAATGGCTTCATTGAAGAATTGTGATAAAATGAAATCAAACTTTCTAATACTCTGACTCCCACATGTGGCTCATAGCAAAAATGAATGGATCTTTCTAGAATTATCTAAGCAGATCCCTTGGGCCCAGTAGGAGATTTGTTTTCCTGGGAAAAAGACTTAAAAATAGGAATGTGGTGGATTAGCAATAAGGCCTTCAAAACAAATGGTCTCCTGTTTTTCTGCTGCTTCATAGAACGTCCATTTAATATAAATATGTTTGATGGTTAAAGAAAAGTATGAATGGTTCTAGTATTCTCTTCCTCTGCTTCTTGAACATCCCTCTCCATTGATTCTCCCACACCAGGAGGAAGAGGCTTTGGTGACATGAAGAAAAAAAGTAAGAGCTGTGGAAGTCAGAGATACTACGTTTTCTTGGGAGGCAGAAGAAAAAGGGAGAGAAACTAAAAGAGCCACTCCAGACCCAATTTTTGAAGAACGTTGTGAAGTTTCAGAGGAAAAAAAGAACAATGAGAGTTACTAAGAGAGATAAAGCGGATTTTAGGTTGCGTTGCTGGTGTTACAAGTGCAAACTTTCTTGGATATTTTTCAAGAGACATCTGTAAAGGCGTAAATTGCTTTTCAATTATTTTCACTTTTGAACTGGTGTTTTTTCTAACTGTAGCTCCATGCTGGGACAGGCCACAGGGTAGTTCAGGTATATGTGGATTATATACAGAGAGTGATATTTTTCCTGAGTGGGAATGAGGGGGCAGTCAGGCAAATATAAGCAATTAAGAGCATGGTAAATTTCTGACTTATTTGTTTTCACAGTCAAGGTTATTTTTCTCTTTAATTTTGACTGCTCCCTGGAATATGTGCCTGTTTATTATATTTCACTTTATCTGCTCCACAACTAAATAGTAATTTCCAGTTGTTTACCATGGAACGCACTCCCTGGATTTATACAATGATTGAGCAATCATAGCTGAGGCTCTATCTTTTCCTTTCTCTTTTCCCATTAACTGGTGCATTCATTTTCTATGTCTCAGTAAATAGTCACTAAATATCTACCATTTGTAAAGTTTTGTGTAAAATATTGGTAAGAAGAGATATATAATCTCTCCCTATCTCAAAGTGCTTATGCTATAAAGGGGAGAAATGACACAAATGGTACAATACAAAGCAGTGTGTGCCTTGTGGGTGGGAATATTAGTTTACAGGGAGAGGGATCCCACTGAGTTAAGTTGTCAATGGAAAGTTCAAGGAGATTGTCCTGGTTGGAAAAAGGCAGGAACTTGGAGCTGGGGGGAGGACTGTTCAGATGCAGAGAGAGAGAGAAAAAAGAAACAAACAAAAGGTATGCCAACAAAATAATGCAAGATATTAAATTTTTTTCTTTCTCTGGTTATAGGTAGAATTTAAACTTTACAAAAAACATCCAGAGCAAGATACTTACTTTGAAGTGAATTTTGACTCTATATTCAACACCTTCTTTTAGCACAAAAATTTCTTTTTTGAGGGCTTCAAGATCCCCTGTAGAAATGAATTTAGAAAGAGTTTACTCAGAAGGAGAGACGCAAGAGATGAATGACGTTTAAACTCCAGAGCCATTTGCTGGGCGCTTCAGGACAACACGGTCACACAGCCCTCAATTCAAAGGCTATTTGAGATTAGTGGCTGCACAAACATGAAATGCCTGAAATCCTACAGCCAGATATGAAAGAAATGTGCTATAGTTTGACAACAACCTTAAGAATATACAAGCTATTACCAGTAATGAGTTATGGACAAAAACAAGTCTTTTCTAATTGTAGCTAATAAAAACAGGTTTTATTAACCATCCTAGAGGAAAGTCTGAACTATCTTGCCATTCTCTCTATTGCAAATGACATGACATATATGTGGTCAAAAGAAAAGATGATTAAAGACTATGCCCTTGTGCCTTGTATAAAGAAAGACAGGAAAAATATTATATGAGTACCAGCTATTTGGTTTTGTATATTTGTTCATATTTGTGGCATTTTCTAGCTTTTAAAAGTTTACTTGTTTTGGTTCCTTTTCATCATTCTAAATGAATTTTCACTTTTATACTTGTTTTTCATTTGCAGTTGCATTTTCATATTTTTTTCCTTAAGAAAATAAATACAAAAGCTTCGGGCTCCAGAAAACTGAGATTTGTCCTTAATTCCTGGACCCTGGTTAGAGAGATACTCATTCTCTGTTCTCCCAATGCGATCTTATATAATTTGACATTCAGGAGTGTGTGTGTGTGCATGTGTGAATGTGTGCATGTGTGCATGTGTGTGTGTGTGTGTGTGTGGTTTTGCATAGCTCTGTGCATGTTTCCTGAACAGAGCTGGAACCAGGATATACTAAATAAATATCTGCAATTCACCTCAGTAGTTTCTTTGTGACAGAAAACCAAATTTGATTTTCCTGCTGCTGGGAAAAGGGATAGAGACCAAGTTTTCCCTGCAATGTCATCAAGGCCTTCTAAACAGAACAAATTTCCTTAGTGCTTATTCAGACCTTATCTTTCAAAATGACAGTTGTACCTGGTAACATTACACAATTTCACACAGGAAGAGGCCTGGGTCTTGGTGAGAGAGAGAGATTTTCTCTCCTGGAGAGATGCTAAACTGTGGGGGCAGTTGAATTTGTGTGTCTGCTCTAATGATTTCAGTTGAAGAGGAAGTGTGTCTTCTCAGCCTCTTGTTTCCTCCCTCTGACAAAAAAAAAGCCCATATAAGGTAAAGAGTATGGATGTGTCCTATGAGAGGGGAACTACCTTGTTGCTAAGCCTACTGTTCAATAGCCATGCTTGCTCTGTCTCATGAGTCTACTTTTGAATCTGGTAATAATTTTTTTCCACTAAATACCTACCTTTAATGCCTCCAACCTCTGAGCTTTGTGGCCCTTCCCTCATTTCTCTGAGATGCCCATTTCCCATATAATACCCACCTTCCCAGCCTCTCTTTACCTCCTCAAGACCTAAATCTCAGGAAAGAACTTGATCTTTGTTATAATAAAGTAAAAGAAAATAGCATCTCAATTTGAACCTTTTTTGGGGGGAGGGGGAGAGTCTTTATTTAAAGGAGTCATAGTTTTAAGCTAAAATTATACATGTTTAACAATAGAATTCTTAGTATTATTCAGGAGGTCTTAGATGGCTGCTTGCCTTCAGGTAAGTTCTGCAGCTGATATAACATCAATACTTTCTCAATATAACATCAATACTCTCGATGTTTAGATTGTATAAATAATACAATTCCAGAAACATGCTTCTTGCTTCTTAAAATTTCCATCTTTTTACATGAATAGTAATTCTCTTGCTATCCTATAATGATAAAAATCTAAAGTAAATATGATACAAGTAAATATATCCAGTATTTATGCCTGCACACTCTTTAATTAAATAGAGACAGAGGTTGAGTTTGTTGTCAAACATGGTAAATACTGGATACCCTGAGAGATGTGATTTGTGGACTGGTCCCAGCATATTCATCTCTGAGATTTATCTTATTAGGGTTTCCTTCTGCTGGGATAGGAGATAAAGAGCAATTTTCCCCAGTGATATCATTAGCTCCCTTTCAACGAACAGATGTGTCCACTTACCAGTGAGGTCCATGGTGATTGGTCCTGGGGCACTCTCACATACCAGGGTAAGGCGGGTGACAGTGACATTGGGGGCTGTTGGGTCTGCAGGATTTAAAAGGGAATGTAAGCACAAGGAAGAGACATGTATGTCTAGTGCATGTGTGCACTTCAAGTAGGAAGAGCGAACACGAAAAGAAAAGTGATATCTCAATCTAGAGTAGAAATACTAATGAAAAGTAGCAGATTCACTATGATTGGTCTTAGCCAAGTACAGCGGTGCTATTTCTGCTTCAGGCACTTATAATCCATCTTAATTATCAACAGCAAACATTTCTTGAGTGGCTGTGGTACTCTGCTAGTTGGGCACTGCCAATCCATACCTTTGGGCCATTCTTAGTCTGCCACTGTGTATGTGGAAGAGATGAATGGTTAGGTAAGGAGTCAGAAGGAGAAAAGAGAAAAAAAATGAAAATATGAGAGAGAATGGAGAGAATACAATTCTAAGTGGTAGTCTGAAATCATTTCTAAATCTTCCTTATGTGTTATTTTTGCTTATTTTGATGTAGTATTGCACCTTCTCTCCAAAGAAGACTTACATAGTTCATAACTTTATTTACCATATATAGACTATGCTTCCCTCACTTATCCCTGAAAGCACTTGGTGCTCTTTCCTTTGCACTGGCTCCCCAATAGCTGAAATGTATGCCTTATTGGGGACCCTCCACCTGATCTTCATCTCCATATACACACCTGCTACCACAGGACCATCTCCCAGGAGTGTTTTCTTGTACTTAGCTAGACTTTCATCATCTTTGTCCATCTCTTGCAGCTCTTTCAGGGACTTCTGAGGTGGAGGCTTGTAATTGAGCTTGCCGTCCAGTTCATCATCATCCTCTTCCAGGTGTGGTTCTGGGGCTTTTTCAGTCATTTTGATCTATTTCAGAGAGAGAGAGGATGATAGTCCAGAAGTCAGTGACTATCATGATGTTTGTGGGGCTTTTGTTAGCACCATCGTTGCCCTTATGGACTTCTGTAATTGTCAGAGATTTTCTGGGAGATTTCTCCCTAATTCCACTTCGTTATATTTCATGAAATAAGAATATAATGCATTCATCTTTTCTCTGACATGCCGAATTTTCCATACTGTGATAGGTACCACCTATTCACTGAATAAAGCTGATAAAAATATAACTTATCTGTGAATTACACGGTATGAGTGAAGCAACATAGCACAAGCAAGCCGGAATAATGGGCAAATAACCCCAAATCAAAGAGTTATAGACATTACCACAGTTCTCCAAATTTAGCCAGCCTTGCCAGTGTCAAAACTGTTAGCATGTACAAACTCAGATGTGATGGTTTCAAGAGACAGGTGGAATAAGTACTTTCCAAAGAAAGCTGGCTTCTTCCCATTAATCAAATCTTTCCCCGAACTCCTGCAATACCTCAAAGGTAACTCATAGAAATCGTGGACCACTATGATGCCTGCCAAGGTATCTGAAAGGTTTCCACCCAACACTGCTAATAATTCCTTGAGGGCAGGTACTAGGTTCTGTGTTTCTCTAGGATCTCCCATAACACTTGAATACTTCAGACATTTTATAAACATTCATTGATTGGTTAGGTTCTATAGCTAAAGATCTTCTGCTCTTCTGAAGTGACACAAAATAGCAAAGAACTCTTTAAATTTCTCTAGACAAAATTGTAATATGTCTTTAGTATCCTTCCATCAATCTCTCCTTTCTGGACTCACTTCCTGTTTAGTACCTACCTCCCATCCCCGCCCCTAGAATTTCCAGTGATGTTACACTCTGAGACCTCTTCTGGGCATAGCCTGGAATCTGTTTTCCACAATCATCATCTACATTTACTTGTTTTGTGTTAAAAAACAATTGAGGGGAGATCTAATAAAATTATTCACATGTAAGTGTTAATGATTAAATAATAGATTTAAAAATTATTTCTCTTAGGGCATGAGCTTTTTATAGTCAGAGCTTTTCAAAGCTGAAATAAACCTTAGAAGTGATCTATTCTAACCCCTCATTTAACCATTGAGAAAAATTGAAACCCAGAGGTTAAGAGAATTGCTCGTTTACATAGCTGGGTGAGAAGTAGTGTCCTAATAAAGAGAAAGAAATCTCTATCGAAAGAATTTCAGGTCCCTGTGGCTGGCAACAATGGAGCTAAGTGGGGAAACAAGGGAGATATTTGGAGGAGATAATTTTCTGATTTCCTTCAGTTCTTCCCCAAAGGATAACTTCTTCCCTGCCTGTCAGTAAAGGCTTTATTGCTCCAAAATGGTATATCTATAAGACAATATCCATCACATCACACCCTGAGTGACTTTGCAAACCTCCATAAAGTGCCCTGCGTGTGAAGCTATCTCTAGCCCAAATCAGTTGTGGTTTTGAGTTTCAATGCTACTATCATTGGTAAGAGGAAGAAAAATAATTTAGGAGTAAAGCCAAGCAAAAGCAATTTTAACAGAAAAAAAAGAAAAGAAAAGAAAGAGAAATTATACATGTTGGCTCATTAATTCTCTTCTAGCAAAAAAGCAAGTCAAATACTGTGAGCCTGATCACCTCTGAAAACAGCATTGCAATGCCTAGGTCCACTTCCTGTGCAGGAAGGAAACATGTAGGCCTGTTCCTATGGCAACTCTTGCCTCAGCTAAAGAACAAGCACCACTCAAAGCTGAGCTTCTAGAGAACAGCACAATAACTGGAGATTGTGGGTAGTTTAAGGACAATCATTAAGAGGCAGATAAAGAGCAAACCAGAAGAGACTAATCATATGAGATAGGTTCTCCTCTGGTGACACCCAGGAGCCTGGCCAAATACCCAGGTGGGAGGTCACATCATAAACCTGTAGATGGAGCATCAGGAGGCTATCTATAGATGAGGACATCTCAACCCCTATGAACAGGCCTTTCTGGAATATATTGCTTGATTCTAACAAGTCATCTGCTTGAAGTCTGACAATCAGATGATGACGACACATGCAGCCACTACTTAGCTGAAGGTGATTTCAATAACCTTCAGGGAATTGTAGTTCTTCGTCCTTGAATCTCAATTTTGAAAGGAGAATGAGAGAGATTGAGAGAGACAGAGAGTAGAGACAGAAAGATCTGGTCTAGGACAGGGTCTGCTAACCTCTAACAGTGCCCTCACTAGCAAGTCAGTTTATCTGTCTAGATCTTGTTCTTCTCCTTAGTAAATATGAGATTTACGTCAGTTATAAATACCCTTGATTCACTGTAAACAGATACAATAATTGCTCCAGGAAATTAGACACCAATTTATTTAAAGATATTGAAAAGTCGAGGATAATGTGGGATTACTGTATTGTCGCAGTCAAAAGGAGGAAGTTCAGGACCATGTTAAAATAATTTGGTCTTATTATATAGAGTAAGAAAAAGAGATATGAGGCCAGACGACCCAAAACCAGCTCATTCTGGAAAGCTGATTAGAAAAAGATGAAAATGTCTTATATGGCAAATAAAAGGACTGGAAAAGCAGTTCTCAGGGAAAGCCCTTTTAAAGCAAAATTAAGGTCACAAATATTTGGTGAGCCCCACCTGTTTACAGGATACTGTGCTTTAGCACATACTGATGTTTAAGGAACTCTCCAAAGTAGAGAAAGGATTAGAGGACGAATAATCTAAACATACTAAAAAGACCCTGCTGGTTTGACTGATTTTTAGAGATTACAAGTCTCTTTAAACATCTGATAAAAGTCATGGTCCTTTTAAAAGGAAAAAAGGAATAAACTCATGAAATTGTGTATGCAATCCAGAGGTTCATGGACTCCTGAAGTCCTTCAGAGACTTTGTTGGATTAGGAACATGACCTGGAAACTAACTTTTGGAAACATGAAGCAAAAAGTTGAGGAAGCTTGCTTCTTCTCTTCCAGGCCTAGCCAAATCAATGACACAACCGAGTCTTAAACTAAAAATCATGTCTATGAATGTTGGGTATGTAGAAGCAGAAGATACCAGGTAACACCTGCATCTGAGGAAGTGTGATCACAAACCTGGCAGAGGAGCAAAGGTGTCCAGGGAGCAGCTCTTTAGAAGAGTTCAGTGGTCAATTGACTTGATTTTGAATAATTAATTCTTCGCTGAACTAAGCCTCATGCATGGGTTTTGGTTCTGGCTTTGCTACTAACTAGCTGTGACTCCCTGGAGCGAATGTTTGAACACTGTGGATTTTTCCTCATCTTGGGAGGCGAGGGGTGAGAGCAGACCATCCTTGGGTGCTTTCCTTTTCCAAGACCTCTATCTGAAGGTTTCTCCTGATCTACAGTCAGTATCAACTAAGTTGCCAGTTCAGTTACCTTATCTGTTACTGCATAGATAAGAGATTATCTATTTGTTTTAGTATTTCAAATTTATGCAAATTCCTCCAAAGATGCTGCATTTTAAATTTCACAATTCATCTCTGGGGAACTTCAGATTCTCCAAAAGCCTTAGCCATAAATGGTTAATATAGTTTGACAATGATTTCTCAAACTGTATATATATGTGTGTGTGTATATTTGGCCACAAATGTCAGTTTTCTTTTTTTATCCTCCCATTTCCTGGGGGCTTCCTAAAGTGAAAATAGAAATTTTATGGAAATTTTGCAGACAATTTTCCAATCTCATCATGTAGAGAACAATTGGTTTTATCATCGATGATAACTATAATAGTTATCATACATAGAACTAAATGCTTTCATGAGGATCATATTACTTAGTCCTCACTACAGATTAGAAAACTCTTCTACAGATTCAGGTAAATAGCTCACCCAAGAAGACATAGTGTGTGAGGGGCAGAGCACCGGTTGTCTGACTTTTAGGCACTACGCCCTGTTGCTTCAGTTGTCTTTACTAAGAAGTAATAATGAAATTATAACGCTTGTTAGTCATTTTGAGATTCTATTCAGGGGTGCGCAGGCAGAGAGAGGTAAATGATTCTTTGTAGGAATGGCTTTAACAAAGCAGGAAATTGTCACAAAAAGAGGGTTTCAGTGCCACTTTGCCCTTGTGCAAGTCTCTGAACCTCTCTGAGCTGTAGTTTCGTCCTCTGCAGAATGAAATCATTGCATTAAAAGATCTCTAAGTCCTCTTTGAATGCAATGACCCTAACGCTCTTTGATGTAAAAAAAGGGTATGAAATGAGAAAGAAAAAGAGGAAGTAGAGCTGGGGCTGGGGAGAACCCTGTCCAACCATCAGCAAAAAACATTCTGTTGGGCTTTTCTCAGCAGGGTTGTTTTGTTTGTTTGTTTTGTCGTATGTTGTTTTTGACTTTGGTTCTTTACACAGGAAAAGCAAAATGAAGAATTAATAACTTAATGAGGTTAATATTGATTCTGTCAGGCACAAAGCCCCCAAAGCACATAGGGCTTTTTTTTTCCATGTGCTGACTACTCCAGTTATCTCTATTTTCTGCATCCCAGATGCCTACACAGATAAATTTTCATGGTGGAACCCTCACACTCCCATGTCTGCTCTTCAGTGAAACAATGTCAAGGGTTAGATGTGCTGAGGTGGAGCCTTAAGCTTCTCTGGCTCAATTAAAATGCCAAATTAAATTAAGATGGTTATTCACTGCATGAGCATGACAGCACAAATTGACGTTTTCACTTGCAAATTCAGTGGATTTTTCAATTTTTAAATTTCTGAGGCACTGCAAGTGAAATATGTTTAAGAATTTACACCAATCTCAGGATAGAGCTCACTCATCTGGTTCATTAATGCGGATCTAAGTAAGTTGAAGACAAGAAGAGGTGAAACTCTCGAGTTTAGATGAAACGCATCACCTGGTGAACCTAGAAAAAGGTGACCTTCATGTCCACTAGAACATGGACTTCGAGTCCAATGGACGAGATATTTAAAATGTGATTTTGCACTTGACTTATCATAGGACTTAAGCAAGTGATTGATTTCACCGAGCCCAAGTTTTTCCACCAATAAAGTGAGAATGATCTTTATGGGGTTGAAGAGTTGGAGAAAACATGAGAAGTCCTAAGACTGTATTGGCCAATAGGAGATGTTGAATAACTACCCGTCCCTTTCTCTCCTCTCTTCCTTGTGATGTTGTCTATTTTGTCGCACGGTTTCAGAGAAGTGAGTTAACTGCGCAGGCATCAAATGCTTTCTCTAGGATCTGCAGTGTTGATACTGTCCACTCCTTCCTTCTTAAAAATAGATTTTATTTCTTTGAAGAGTAGAGAAGAGACAAGACGTTCTGGGAATTGCAAGGACTGTCACTATTATATTTCTTTAAAAAACTTCCACATAAACAATTTAATTTTAGATTCTATTTATTGCTCCCTTTTATAGTGGAAGCCAGAGGTCACTCTGTGAGTGAGAAAAAAATAGAAGACACAGGCATAGCTAATGGAGAGAATTTTTCTCTGGAGCAAGATACTGTGGAGACCTCACTCATGTCCTAGAGTTGCCAGATCATGCATCTAGAAGCACAGACCATGAATATAAATGTGGTAGAGATGAGGGAGGGAGAAAAAAAAATGTGGAAGTACCAGAAGCAGGGGATTTCCAGCAGAGAAGTACCTATGTAAGTAGCATCAGCATTCCCCAGCACCCTGTCGGCCCCACGCCCCGCTGACCAGATTCTGTCCTACCTTTCCCTTATCTGGGCCTGGAGCTCTAGAGCAGGTCATGGAGAATTGAGCTGTCTCTGAATGACTGTTGACATTTCAGAGCTAGTCGGCTTTGCCGCCTGCCTGGTAATTTGGCTTGTTTGAGGAATCCAAGTTTATCACTTGGGACACCAGAAGCTGACTGGGTTCTGGGGTCCTCTCTGGTGTCTCAGGTTTCCATAGAGGGATTGGTGCTTCCTGGGATCCTCAGGGCTGCTCTCTACCCCCTAGACCCCACAAAGAACTTCGAAACTGCAAAGCTGGTTGAGAATAACCAGCCCAGTGCCGGAGAGGACAGTGTCTTGTTAGATACAATAAATATTATAATCAAATCTGAGGAAGGTACAAATTACTAGAAGCAGAAATCTTTAACATTTCCTTCAGTGAGAGAAATGATACATTATTTCTTGTCTGTGCATTCATAGTAGTATATACTCTTCAGCCCTAGATTCATGTGCAAAGAAGGGAGAACTCACCTCTTTAAACTTTTCTGAGTGTATACCCTGTGACTTAGTCTCTGTGCTAAGAATTTTCGCAAATATTTATTTTAAATAATCCTTAAAGAAAACTGCATTAAAGAAGCCATTATTAGGCAAAAAGATTTTACTGCAGTAGCTCAGCCCATTCATAGTTTTAAATGAAGCATGGACTATTAGAGAGAAGTAAAGAAACTTTATGATCACTGTACTTAGAATATCAATCCCTTCAAGAAAATCCAGGGGAATTTTTACTAGCTCTAGCTGTGGAAACCAGAGTGTAATACAGCCCAGAGTGACTGAATAAGTGCTAATTGAATAGATAACCATTGAGGTTTCAGGAGCAACCTGAGACCCTTCCCTGAGTTTACCCTAATCTGGGATCCTGGGTAGTGATAACTAACACTGACTCGGGAGCAAGAATGCTCAGAACGTGAAATTAAAGAAAATGTCTCCCATGGAGCATTTCCTAAAATGTCCTTCTGAGGCATTGTAGCTCTTGGCCCCGCCTCCCCGCTGGCCCCAGTCAAATCACTTAACACTTCTGAGGCTTATTGTCTTCTGTGTCCTCTCAGCATTCAGAAGTTTCTAACACCAGGCCTGACACATAGAAGGCACCCCACATATGCTGGCTCTCATTCTCTGTCTGCTTAATTTTTCCTGAGAACTTCTCTTTTCCTGCTAGCTAAAGTTTGTAATGTATTGTGCTCCCAAGAATTGGCCCAGGCCATCCTTTTTTTTCATCACATTGACTTTGTTGTGCTGAGTTTCCACTAAAAACACAACCTTGATGTTGCTTGGAGCAAACTTCCCTAGGGACAAACTCGCACTCTCCCAGACAAAGAAGAACCAAATTCCAGTGCCTGGAAGATGCCAGCCAGTTTTTTTTTTTTTTTTTTTTTTTTGGCTGTAACATGTGCTAGATCTATGTAACGTGGATGGAAAATGAACTGTTCTCTTAGAAGTCCATACAGCTCACAAAAGGGTAAGATGATCTTGTTACTAATTGTGTCCTATCTGGATTTGGAAGGGATATTTTCTTGTAAATTGAACAAAACAAAATGATGGCAATGATGAACGGTACCTGACTGTGTACGAACCCCCCGGGGCCAACACGAACCTCTCAGTTTCCCTTTCTTGATAATTCCTGCAGTGAGAATCCAACATGCTAACCCTGATTTCAGTAGTTCTTGGCTTCTGTGTGAAGAGGTGAATATAGGAACACTATGTGAGGACAGTTTGTCTTCCCCTATCCTGAACAGAAAGACAGCTTAGGGTTTATTAGATCCTCACTGCAAGTTACCTTAGGTCTAGGGTTTAATTACACACTATGTTTATAAAACATGCTGATTGGGACACCCTTGAAAAAGGAGGAAAGTATTTCAGGTCATGCCTAAAACACTTTTAATGGAGGCCAAACTCAGACCTCGACATTTTCAAGGCCCATTGACCAGGTATGCTAGCTGGTCCCATTTGGATTTTTCTATTAAAAAATTATTTAGAGTCTTCCGTGTTTGCTTTTAGTTCTTTCAGATGTAAAGACTGATTCTTTGGCAATAAAGCAATTATCTTTCTGCCCATCTTGCTGCAGGAATTTAATACACATTCTTTGTTAGTGGTAGAAATTCTATCCATGTACGAGTAAATAACAATGTATTCTACCATACTTCTCCCTTAATAGTTAAATCCCATTGTACTTAAGAGAGGCTTTTGTTATGCATTTCTCTTATATCACCAGAAAAATTCTTTAGTAGAAAACAGTTTAATGTTTGACAGCTTTGAACCTTTTTTTCCCCTTTTAAACCAGTCTCTCTGTAAATCTACTTAAAAACAGGAAACCGCACATCTCCACCCCAGCACCAACCCTCCATCCACCAACACATTCCATATCAGTTTGGATCTAGGGTCCTTTTGCTTCTGGGCTTGGCCAGATGCCTACTCCTACCTTGTAGGAAACCCCTGCAGACATTCCCAGTGGCTATGCTCATAGCTCTTCTCCAGGACATTCAAGATTTTATCTCCTGGGCTGCAGCACACGCCCTCCTCTCCCTCACTGAGCTGACTCCCCTGAGTCATTGCTACCATTCCCCGGGCTGACTTCCCCTTCTATGCAGAACTGTTCCAGGAGCCTCTTTAGTACTTTCTTATCATAAAGTTTGTTTTAAAGAGAAACCGCCCCTCTAAAAAAATATGCTATTGAGAGCTATAGCTTAGTTTAGAGATTTCCTACACTTCTCTGTGCCCACCTGCAGCACCCCACCCACCCACCTACCCTGCAGTATTTCAACTTACATTCAGTTGTTCACGTCTCTGTCCGGGGTGCCTCTGTCTCTTAACTCTGACTTCTGAGTACTGGCAGTTAGAACAGGAAGGAAGTTAGCAAGAAAAAAAAAAAAAAAATTAAACCTACTAGAAGAGGAAACCCTGAGCTGTCTCAAATCCTGTTCTGCACTGCGTATCTCTTGATCAGCTAACTCTGGGCAGCATATCTGTCAATTAATGGCACATGTGGAAGCACGACTACTCATGTGAACATGGATATGGATGAATGTTCATGCAAGGGCGTAGAGCCTATAGCCATGAGTGCTATGAATAATTGTGCAGATATGTCTAAAAATCAAGTCATTTCAGTGCATAAGCTTACTGAGGCAGCTATTCTAAAACCAGTAACAACAAATTTCCGCAGGCTTGACTTTGTATCACTAACTTCTGTTCTTATGTGGTCTCTGCCAGCTTCTTTATCAGCTAGATATGTTGAAAGTTGGCTGGCAGTGAAAGTAGGGTGCTAAGAAATTATAAATGTTAACTGCATATATTTGGCCTTAAATTTTAAAATTTGTCCTCAAATAGATTTTTGAGGGTTTTTTTTTGGTCATAATTTCAAGATGTAGCTTTGTATTATAGCACAAACAACCAAATGTTATTTGCTGTAGTTTTCATTAATTTTTCTTTTAAGTTAAAAAAGCCAAAGTCCCGCTTTTGATTAGATCTGGCAATGCAGATTACAAAATAAAGTCACACTTTATTAATTCATGGTCTTCCAACTCAAAATTTGTGATAATTTAACAAGTACTAAAATCGACTTTGTACCGTATTCGAGGAAATGGTTTGTGAAGTAATTTAAATGGGACAAGTTACAGAGGCCAAATTTAAACCATTTGAGGTAATAAAGTTTTTAAGCACCCGAGCCACATTTACTCTATACATTTACTCTATACATAGCTACCACCTTTAACCAATTCTTATTTATACTAATATCTCAATATTCAGTATTTACATTGTTTCAATATTTTTAGAACTGACTAATCAAGCTTGTGTATTTGGAGAAACAAACATTTATTTTGTTGTCATTTAAATGTATTGCATTTCGTTTACTTCATTTTGTAAATTGGCGCCACCAGATATATTTTGTCCTTAGTCAATGGCGCTGAAATAATCAAGGAAATGGTGGTCGTTTGGTGGGAGGAAACAGATTAATATAGGAAAATATAAAAAGGAAAACAATGTATAATTAAAATTAATAAAAATATTAATCAAATACAATTTAGTATTTAGTAATAATAAAAATATTAATCAAATACAATTTTAGTAGTAGAAAATCAAATACAGATTTAGTCATAAATTTCAAAATGATATAGGTAGAAGATAGACCTTGAAAGTATCTGACCGTATTATAATTAAAGCAAATATTAATTTACACAGAAGACAGTAAAATTTATAGCTCAGTACTCTCAAGAGAAGACACACTTCTTTCAGTAACCTTACTTAGTCAAGCACCTTTTTGATTCCAGGTACTGTACTAGGCACCAGTGAGATAGCAGTAAACACCAGACAAAACCTCTGCTTTCTTGTGGAACTTATGTTCTAAGGGAGACAGACAAAAGATAACATAGGTATAATAAATTATTTGGAACAAGAAAGATTTTAAAAATTAGAATGGTAGATTCATAGTCTATATGCTACTTTCATGCCATTTCTCATGCTATAAGGGAAAAGACCTCACTAATCAAATAAGACCTTTTTTTCCTGTTAAGCCCAATGTGTCCTCACAATTTTTCTTAATGCGTTGCTTTTGGCACAGATGTTGGAAGGTTTAGAAGCCCCTAAAAAATGTCTGTAATATCAGTATGTGTGCAGTGTGTGTGCATTTATTGGGGGAGGAGAGAGCATTCATAACTTTTGTCAAATTCTCAAAGAGACCCACAATCTCAAAAGGATTAAGAATTGCTAATTTAGAGTCTCTTCCTGATATACTGAAGACTTTCAGTAAGTAGGAGGACAACTGCCATATTCTCCGAAAATATTTTCCAACATCACACTCAGGGCATAGATTTACCTGAAATCACCATTTCTCTTTTTCTTCTGCTGCAGTTTATTGCTCACATGTATTTATCAGATGGGAAAACAGATTAAGATACTCTTCAAAGAAGACTAAAATGGCAGACCCTTCTCTTATAGCCCATGCTGACAATGATGCACTATGTATTAAGGTTCTTGTACCCATATCTAAGCTTCTACAAATGTAAGAAAATACCTGTCATGCTGGTAAGAATGCTCTTTCTTTAAGAACCTTTGTCTTTTTGGCCCACCTCCCATCCCCCACCTCTGGCAAGCACCAATCCTCCACTTTGTTCTCTGTATCTACGGGCTTTTTTAAAATTTTTTTTAATATTTCACATATAAGTGAGATTATGTGGTTGGTATTTGATTTTCTCTATCTGACTTATTTCACTTAGCATAATGCCCTCAAACTCCATCTATGTTGTCACAAATAATAAGATTTCCTTATTTTTCATGGCTGAATAATATGCCATTGTGTGTGTGTGTGTGTGTGTGTGTGTGTGTGGGTGTAAAACTCACGTTTTTCATAAAACTCACGTTTTCCTTATCCATTCATCCAGTCATGGACACTTAGGTTGTTTTCATATCTTTGTTATTGTAAATAATGTTGCCATGAATATGTGCGTACATACATCTGTTTCTGTTAGTGTTTTCATTTTCGTCGAATGAGTATCCAGAAGTGCACTTGTGGGTCATATGGTAGTTCTATTTTTAATTTTTTGAGGATTCGCCATACTGTTTTTCATAATGACTGCACCAATTTACATTCCCACCAAAAGCTCACAAATGATCTCTTTTTTCCACATCCTTGCAATAGTTACTGCTTGTCTTTTTGATAATGGCCATTTTAACAGGTATAAAGTGATGTGTCATTGTGGGTTTGATTTGCATTCCTCTGATGATTTGTGATGTGGAGCCTCTGATCATGTACTTGTTGATCATCTATATGTCTTCTTTAGAAAAACGTCTATTAAGATATTCTGCCCATTTTAAATTGGATTTTTATTTTTATTTTTTTTGCTGTTGAATTGTATGATTTCATTACATATTTTGGATATTAACTCATTATCAGATATATGATTTGCAAATATTTTTTCCCATTCCATAGGCTGCCTTTTCATTTTGTTGATGGTTTCCTTTGCTGTGCAGAAGCTTTTTAATTTGATGTAGTCCCAATTGTTTATTTTTGTTTTGGTGTCAAATAAAAAATCATTGAATCATCGCCAAAACTAATGTCAAGGAGCTTACTACTGCCTATGTTTTCTTCTAGGAGTTTCACAGTTCCTTACAGTCTTACATTCAAGTTTTTACTTCTACTTTGAGTTAATTCTTATGTCTGATATAAGATAGTGGTACAATCTCATTATTTTGCAGGTGGCTATCCAGTTTTTCCTTCCTCTACTTTTTAAAATTCAGTTTCCACTTGTTCATTGTTATTATAAATGGAATTGATTTTTGTGTATTGATCTAGTATCCTTCAACCTTGCCGAACTCACTTATTAGTAATAGGAAGGCTTTTAAATGTAGTTTCCTTAAGATTTTCTATGTAGACAATGATGCCATCTCTAAATAGAAACAACTTTATTGTTTTTTATTCCAGTTCTAAGCTATATGCTTTCTATTTTTTCATGTCTGTATTGGCTAAGATTTCCAGGACCATGTAGAATAAGAGTGATGAGAGAAGACATCCTTGACTTTTTCCTGATTTTGGAATTGAAAGCATTCAGTCTTTCACAGTTAGATATGATGATGCTAAATGTAGGTGTTTTGTTGATGCTCTATATGCATTCCCCTTTATTTCTAGTTTGCTGAAAGTTTTCTTTTTCTTTTTTTTTTATCATGAATAGGTACTAGATTTTATCAAATGTTTTTTCTGCATCAATTTATACGATCATAAAATTTTTCTTCTTTAGCCTATTGTTATAGTGCATTATGTTGATTGAGTTTTAAATATCAAGCATGTCTTGCATATATGGAATAAGTCATGCTTGGTCATGGTGTATTATTATTTTTATATATTGCTGGATTTGATTTGCTAATGTTAAGGATTTTTACATCTAATTCATGAGCGATTTTAATTGGTATTTTTTCTTTTTACAGTTTTTGGTGTCAAAAAATTTCATGAGGGTAAAACTGGCCTCATGAAATGAGCTGGGAAGTGTTACCTCATCTCCATATTCTGAAAGATAACATTACATTTTTAATTAATAAGTTAGTTTTTTCAAGATTAACAATGTACTAGAGAATCCATAAACATGGTAGGGTATTAAGGGAAAATAGGGTCAGTCTTAAAAATTTTTTTTCACTTTAGTGGGTTTCTCTCTGGAGTCCACTGTGTATTAGGGAGAGTTGGAAGCTCAGTCTAGGAGATTCCAACTGTGGAGAAAATGTGGCTTTGTTGTATATCTTCCTACTCACAGGTATTTTAAGAAACACTAAAGAAAGATTAGAGATTAGCACTTGTGTAAGCAGCTTGTGGGACAGCTAAAATTTTAATCACTTTCTAATTACTTGGTACCTGCCCTTCGACTCTTTTCCTGTATATAATTAATAATACTTTCCCATCTGTCAGAAGAGATCAAGAATTATAGAGCTATGGAACATAGATTTTTATGACATTTAGTTTTACAATTTACATGCAGTAAAACACTCTCTGTGATGTATGGTTCTGTGAGTTTTGATGAATGCATAGAGTTGTATACCCACTACTATAATCAAGATACTAAATAGTTTCACCATCTTTCAAAAATCTTTTGCATTTCCCCTTTATGGTCACTCTTCCCTTCAATCCCCTCAATCTCTTCTCCCTATAGTTTTGCCTTTGTCAGATGTTATCAATGAAATCAAATAATATAGAGACTTTTGATTCTGGATTCTTTCATTTATTAAAATGTGTTCAATATTCATTTATGTCATTATATCTGTCAATTTATTCTTTTTTGTTTTGGCCCAGAAAGTTTCCTGCTGGTTTTATTTCTCTTGTTTGTAAAATCTTAGAGTATCCAGCACACCTAAAGTCCTACTAGAGAAATTCCTTGGTGATGGATCACCTTGTGTAGAGAGAGCAGTGTGTGACCCATTACCCGGTTGATGAGATCGGAGATAGACAACTGACCAAGAGTCAGCCAACACTACGTTAGCCAACGACCCACGAAATGACCTGGTAGAAGAGCTCTGTCCAATAGAGGCAGTGTGTACTGA